CACTTCAGCGGAAAATGTTTCAATCAAATTTAAATCAATATTTGAAATCACTTATCTTCAATAAAAATCAGATTTGCAAAAAAGTCTCAAGTTAACTTCATAGATCTGCTTTTTGATTAAATGTAATTAATGATATAAATAGAAAAACAATGATTAGGAATACTCTTCCAAAATCACCCCATCATGAAATAATTTTCAAAACAGTTTATTTGCAGATGGTCCAATAATTTCCTATTCCTCAGATTGACAACACTTAATCACGCGCAATGCTATTGAAAAGTTGTCGAAGGAAAAGGTGTACTAAATCAGGGTTACACTAAAAAGCTAAATAGAAATCCGAAATTTTTCCTCGTGTGCTTAGCACATGTTAAACTACAAATGGGTTAATTTTCTAAATTTTACAAATGCCTGAAAGCTGGCTAAAACGCCATTACTTTAGTCCTTAAATACTCTTAAAATTAAGCTTTTTAAAGTTATTAAATTTGCAAATTAAAGATAAAAAGTGCATCGCAAATTGCATTTGTGCGAAATTTTATGTTCAAAATTGCGAACTTAAACTTTGTTTAATTTGGATGAACTTATATCCGGAATTTTGTTCTCTAAACAATATATGAATTTTTAAAAAGGCATCTTTACTTCAGCAAATAGTGGGTCAGGGGATGAAGAGTTAAAAGCTCCACAATTTCGTGATCTCATTGGTGTCATGAAACGAAAAGACCACCTTTTCCCAAGCAAGAGTACCCATCAATCTGAACCTGGGTGGCTTTCAAACCGCCTGGGATCGAACCACAGTCTTTGACAGCTCAATGCCTAAACCAGTGATTCTCAACCTTTTTTTCGTTGCGGCACACTTTTAACGATTTCGAAATTTGACGGCACACAATGAAAAAATTAGATTAAAAGTTGTTTAATTACCTATTTTACACTGTGTTAAATAGTTTGTGATAATAATTTTGAATGTGGAATGAAATAANAAAAGTATATATATATATATATATATATATATATAATATGCACTTTTCTTTAATTTAAACTTTACTCTTAATTAAAAAAAGCATTATAATTTTTACTGTATCATTTCTAATATTTGGCGGCACATTTTAAGAATTTGGCGGCACACAAAAGTGCCGCGGCACAGTGGTTGAGAATCACTGGCCTAAACTATAGTGCCATCGCCATGTTTTGAGTTTAAGATTAATCTTGAATTTAGCAAAACTAACTGTAAATAAAATGGCTTTGTGTTAAATTTTATTACTGTAGGAATGAGATTTACACGAGCTTCATTGTTTCGAATTTTATATCAGATTTGAAGGACTCTACTGAACTTTTACCGTGCAGCCAAATTTAGAGAAAGGGATCTTTCAAATATTTTTGCTAATGTTCCATGTCAAGAATTTAGTTTCTGTAATAAACTGCTTTTAATAAAATTAAAATTGCTTACTGTAACCTAACCGAGATTAAGTTATCAAAAGTTTATCACTTAAGTTTCTAAAATGTAAATTATAAGGCTAAAAACACACTTAGTTTAGTTAAAGTTTAAATCAGCAGTTCTATTAAAAATTGGAAGAGCTGGGAAAAACTTATTGCCTGAAACAAAAAATTAGTGATTTTGTAAACCACGTGTTTCAAGGACTTAAACCAAGGTTGCGCAATGAACAGTTGTTTGCGTGCCAGTTTGAGATGCCTCTGGCCATATGTAACTGAACCTGGCACAAAGAAGTTCTGTCTTTTGAAATAACTACGAAATTTTTTCCTCTATTCATGATGCTCCTCTGAAAGTTACCTTAGAGTTCAAACACCTATACCGTCGGAAGTTAATTTCTGCGTGAAGTTAAAATTTCTCCAAAAAATAAATTTTGAAAGTTCAATTTAATATTCACAAATTAAATGCATACCTTATTCAATCTTGTGAGTCACACATTAGAGCCTCATACTATTATGTCGGAAGGTTTTAACATTCACACCGTTAGGATTTGACTCTGTTTATGGTAAGGAATCTATTCAAAGGCTGTCGCTTTAAATTTAAATAACTTGATATTTATCCAATACAATTGAAATTGAGCAAATTTTATGAAAACCAGATACCATAACACTTCAATCGTAGGAGTTAAATTTTATCCGTTACCTATATTTTAAGGAAAAGCATTAAGGGAAATAATGTAAGTTGCATTTAGTTGATTGACATAAATATTAAAGCTAATTTTTAGTTCGCAGTCTAGAGTAACTTTATTTGCATAGTGAAATTGCTGTTTTATAATTTTACTGTTCATTTTTAGTTTTTTCTTTAAAGAAATAAACTGTTGAAGTTTCAGAACTATTTTTAATTTTTATGCAAACTTCCATTGAAAATTAGTAGCTGAAGGTTAAGTGGTAAATTAGTACTTTGCTAAGTTTTTATATAATTTGTCTACAAATTGAAATAGTGTATACAACATTCTATAAAGATACCAAAAATATTATAAGCAATCAAGAATGCTTCTAATAAGTGGTCAATAAAAACTTTTCCAACATTTCCTTATTAAGCTTTAGAATACTTTATTCTGTTCGTATAATTAGGAGAGTTTACTTCGTATTCTTCATAATAAGACAAAAAAAAAATATTGCCGAGATTAAAAGCCACTATTTATCTTCAATATAGACTAAAAAATATTTTGAAATAAGTAAACTATATTTATTAGCACTAATGCGAATGGGATAGAATGGATTATCATGAAAACTACATTAACGAATGGGAATTACTTTTGTAAACTGAAGTACAGTGCGCAAAATAAAGGTATCACTCTCAGAAAACTTAAGATTCAAATGAATGAATCCGAATGCGCTAATTAGTACTCAGGAAATTTTAAGTTGCGAAATCAAACAAAAGAAAATACTTTCTCTAAATAAACATACCCTCTTTCGACAGATTTAGATTTTTTAGTATCAAATGAGAGGGTAATTGATCCCAGAAAAGATCCAATTACTCGTAATTTAATCAGGAGGGCCATCGAAGTTTCGGCCTCTTAATGTCAATTTCACTCTTGCAGTTCGTTGTATCTCTAAAGTTTTTCATGGAATGTGGAAGTTTTGCACTCAGTTGTAAGGAATTATAGTTTGATAAACAAATTTTATAACTCTAAAACTTAAATGCTTTAAAACTTGAAGTTTTCCTCATCATCGAACTTTACCTTGTAATGTTAAATACAGATTAAAGACCGTTCTGTGATCGTTTCTGAGTGTTCTTGATTTTAATTTTTGCGTTAGAGGTTTATAATAAATTTTAATTACAAGTAAAGGCAGCATAGCAACTTTCCTAATTTGTCATTTAAACTCTATAATCGATCATTAATCATTGTAACTGCTCGACGGTTCAATCTCATTTGTTTTCCAAGAAAACCACTGAAGTCTATGTAAGAACAATTTTAAATCTCTAACTGTTGTAATTTTTGCAACTCATTCTTTGAAATTTTGTAATTTTTGCAACTCATTCAATAATTGTAAACTGTACAATATAAATTACGTGACGGGGTTTGAACTTAAGCATCGATCCTGCTTTGTATTTTTCCTTAAATATTTTTTATTTTAAAAACTCTTGTCCAAAAATATTTTTGATCTTTCGTTTTTACTTTCAAATTACTTTAACTCCTTAAAGTAATAGTTAAAGCAAGTTGCTTAATGTTCTTACTGAATAAAAAATTAATTTGGCATGTTAAAATGACAGCATTGCAAAAGTGTTATCCAAATTCTTTGTTCAGTATCATTTAAAGAACTGAAGGTTTCTGGTTAAATACGGGGATGTTTAAAAAGTATCAACTCTATTGTGTAATAAGCTGACTTTCCATCATTTCTTGTCATAGATTAGCAGAATGGGGTATATTAGGTTTAAATCTTACACCCTTACCTTCAACAGAAATTCCTGATCAGTGGATTGGACAAAGAGTTGGCTGGATTTGGGCAGTTTCTACAATCATACGAGTTTAAAACTCTTGCGAGCTTTTATTTTGACCTACCATTAAATTTGTGTAAAGGGTCAAGGTAATCTTTGAACAACTTAAGTGATGCTATACTACGAGAGAAAAAATTCGTGTCATATTATTTCACCTACTTAAGTAGTTCAAAGATAATAGTTCAGGTGTACCTAGTGTAAACCATGCAGTTTCGAATGCAGAATTTTTTTTTTTCAAAATGCAGAAAAGTTATGGCCGGCGAAATTACTGAGTGGGGAAGTAATCATAATATATGCATTTTTAAATTTAAAATTTTTTTCAGCTTTTGAAACTTCACTGTTTATCAACTGTTACAACCACTGTTGCTTGAAATATTTTTCTATGCCGGGATAGCCTGGTAGGTAGGACGTTGGTATTGTGTTCGTGAGATCGTGAGTCCAAATTCCGCCCGCCGAAGGATCCCCGTGTATTAAATGGTGACTGGTGCCCGTTAAATCTGTCTGGTCACAAAGTCAATGTTCTCATAACAAATCATACGTCTGAGGGTACTAATTTGAAATTGATCGTTCTCTTGTCCAGGTCAAAATTACGATCTGTGGATGAATAGATGTGCGACTAGGTCAGTCCAGTAAACTGGCAGAGACGTGTGTGCTTAAAGGACTTATTCTTGACCATAGAAGGCTCCACCGAAAAGCGCTCACATCCTACCTAAAAATTCTGTTTCCCATAGCAGGTTTGCGGGTATTGGCAAGTGGCATTAGTAACTTTTTATTAGTTTTGAATTACTAATTTAGGTCAAAGAATCGACATGACTAGTTGCTCCCGTGAGATAGCGTCCTCTTATGACACAAATCAGAGCTTCTATTACTAAAACCGCTCGCCAGTTGCTAGACTGTGACAGTATGGAACAATGGAGTCTCAAGTTGGCCATGTAAAATTCCAGTGAACTGCAATAAATCTTGACTGCAGTTATGGTTGTACGAAGTTCTTTTTCCTAGAAATGAGTTACTTTTGAGACATTCTGTGCTAAGAAAATCGATGATTTTTATACCTAATGGAATTAATTTATTATAGGACCACATTCAAGAAGTATTGAACAAATGGAAGCAAATAGATGACGAAATATGGGCTAAAATCATTGTTATGGAAAGAAATCGAAGAGTAGCTAAAGCTTATGCAAGAGCTCCTGTGCTGACTATTAATGGATCAGATGATGGTTTCGACGGATATAGGTAAAGTGTCAGATAAATTGAGAAATTTAGTCTTGTTACCAGTGTAAAACAATTTTTTTTAATTATAGGATTGGTCTATGTGGTTTTGATAACCCCATGAGAGATGCTAAAACAGAAGAGCTCAAGAAAAACATAGGACATGTGAGTATTTTATTTATTAATCACTTCATAATTTTGTTCATTGAATATTAATTAGTTCACTCTTTCCAGGGTGTGAAAATTAAGATGGATGAAGCTGGCAATATTATGATCAAAAGAATTAGCAAAACAAACGTATACGTGAAAGAAGTTAAAACAGAAGAAAACAGTATAGCAAACGATATAATTATAGCCGGTGGACTTCTAGAAATAGAAAAACCTGTGAAAGTAAGTGCTTGCTCAATTTACTCTTTAATTTTCTACAAATACAGGTGTTAAAACTATAGGTTATCGGACCCCCAGTGGGTAGTGAAGACTTTTTAGAGAGATGTTAGCAAAATATTTGAGGGGTGATTGTCTTATAGTGTCGTAAAAAGATAAAATTATCGTTAAATATACCTTCAAAAAATGCTTTCTAAACTATGCTTTTAAACCAGGATAGGTGGAACTATTTTCATTTACTTTAAAAATTTTACATAATTTATTTTTATCAATTTAACTTTTCCAATATTCATTCGGTGCATTTTTGTAACTTAAGGGCATAACTGTAAGAGTATATCATAACAATCTAAATTTCTAGTAATCTAAATTTCAGCCACGCATGAATATTACGAGCAATACTCGTGATCTTAATCCCGGGCTAAACAAGAACGTCTGAATGGGCTTTTATTGTTTATATTGTATTTTTCCTTTTTAGGTCTGATTACATAATCTGAATTTATTTCAATTCAAATATTGCCTTAGATTCACTTCAAATTTGTATTTTTCTATTAATTATATTAGTTATACAGAATTTGTTGTAATAATATGTACCAATTAATACTTTTTAAGCTTTTTTTTTATTCAGACTCCTTTGAAATTCACAAGAGCACCATCGCGTGAAGTGAAGACCAGCGCAACTATCTTGCACTTAGTCATAAGATATCTTATCACTCGGGCTGCGCCGGGTCTTTTCGCGTACATTCGGTAGCATAAGTTAGGCACTGCTTTTTCCGAATTTCAGCATAGTGCAAGGGGTTAACTCTTTCAGGACCATAATGCTTAAAGCCATGATTCTCCCTTCAAGACTCGTGGTATAACGTATAAAACAATCCTGTCTGAATCTAGCTGCTGAAGATTGCATGGACACGATCTCAATACAGTAATCTCGTATTAGTCTATATATGTAGGGGAGAGTGGGGTCAATTGTAACATTTTTTACATAACTATTTTTAAATAACCAAAAATATATTATTAGTATTAACCAATATATTATTAGTATTAATTGACAGACGAGTAAAGTAGACTATCCTCTACTAGATAAAAAATTTATACCTTATCTTAAATGTTATTGTATTAGTTATTAACAATTTTTGACAGTCGCGCACTTGTTACAATTGTCCCCACTTACGGGGTCAATTGTAACAGTTCATAAATTCAACTAAAACATAGTTAATTATACATATTATCATAGTTGTGATATATTTTTTTATTGATCAAAATAGTAGTGATATTTTAGGAGTAAAAATAATAATGAGCAGAGACCTAAAGGGTTAAACTTTTAACTTTAAGGGGTTAAAAATTTTAATTTATGCTGTGAAAGGTGACAAATAAAATAATGCACATGCAACATAATATAAATGATATAGGAAACTATTGGTGGTTCTTAAAGAGTTAAGTAATGGTTTGTAAACATAAGATTATTTATTTTCAGCTGTTACAATCGTCCCTTTACTTATTGTTACAATTGTCCCCAAGACGCCATTTCAGCTTCATTTGTTAAAAACAATGCTAGTTAATTAACAAAACTAATTTTTTTTTATTGAAATGTTAATTAAGGTGTCCACTTACATATTCGGTTAATAATTTTTATTTGTTTAAACAAAATTACTTTGTTACAATATAATATTCCAATACCAAAAAAAGTACTTACGTATCGTGAAAATATCTTTTGTGATGTAACTCTTTCAAAAGTACTTAAAAATGTTTGCCAGCAGGGGTGTACATGTAGATTTATTAAATACACCTTGTGCGCCACCTAGGAACCAAATCTAGAACCAGACACTCGAAATTTTCGCTCTGTTACAATCGTACCCTGTTACAATTGACCCCACTCTCCCCTACTCTGAATACTATATATGTAATATGAATACTTTGAGTATGCGGGCCAGAGGAAGCGCTTTCTCATTCTGCAGGTTCTGAAGGGTTATAACCAAATATTCAGTTTGCCTTAGTGCTGCTTTTTTATATATATTAAGGAATTTAATAAGAGATAACGCTAGTTTAAATCGGAAGGTGGCATATAATACACCAAAGTAAATTCAGCGGTTCTCTTTGCCTTATTCATTGATGTCATAGAATCTTATTTCTAGAAACTATAAGAGGTTCATTTGCTGACGACATTGTTTAGTGCAGCGATCCTGACATTTAATAGAATTAATTTATCCACTCTAAATTTTTCTGCTAGAAAACAAACTTTTGTTTAATCCTCTTAATGTATTACTGACTTTACCAATTATATTGTCAATGTCTGAAAAGTTTTCTTAATGAACACCTTTTGCAGAGTGAGCAATATCTGTTTCGTACTTGGCCCTGAAATTGCGTGTAGTAAACACATTGATTCGCCAGTAACTAAAGCAATAAATATATAGGATAGTAAAATTCATCTCTGACTGTGATTGGGGCGACTTAAGGATAACTTATCTCTCTATTTAAACCTAATCTTGAATGACTACATCCATAGTCTCGTCAGACTCAAACCTTGAAAATCTGAAAAGAGTACTATTGTGCTCATAGAGTTCAATTACAGGGTTGCGAAATAGCACCCAAACAAATATTGTCCTCTCTAGTGGATTTGTTACTTTTGTGGCTAAGATTCATTCCTTATCGAACAAAGTACTTCAACAAGCTTTTGAGTTATTGTGATAAAATCATACTGTAAACTTTAAGTGATGGGCAAAATAATCAGGCTGAAAAAGAATAGTAAACTCAGTTGCACTGTTAAGCTAAGAGTTTTAGAATCTGCTGTAGAATTTAATTAAGTCCATTGCATCACCATTGGACATATTGTCCAGAGTATATTTTCATACAGAATTTACTCATTGTAAGTCCTTAAAACAGGCTTTTCTATCCGTGGTCAATAGTATTTCTGAGGGGGAAACTCTGGTTTATACAGACTGTAACAAGAATGAGATACAATGGAAGTGGAGCTTTTAAATTTTGAAAGATTTTAGAAATGATTACTGATCAGCTTTCTGCTTTGAAATGATTAAAATTTATTTGGCACTAGTTCGTTTCTGAGCAACGTTTGAACTGGAAAAATCTGGATTCTTTCGAACAGCCGAAGTGCAATTCACTATCTGCAAAATTGAAGACTTATTGGGGCCCAAAAGAGAATTAGAATCGTAGACACACTCGGGATCCTATCCAGTTCTGTGCTTCATCTGCAATGAATTTATAATATAACTATTTCTGAGTCTCTAGTGAAAGAGAATTCCATGAATCAGGCTCTGGAGAAGATCCACTAACTTACCTTATACTGTACTCGAGAAATAAGGCTTCTATATAAGCAACTCTTGAAAACAACCACCACATCTGTGGTATCCTAATTGGAGTCCTGATGCTTCAATTATTTTTAAAGGCGACTGGAAAGATAGGACAACTGACTCGTCTGTACATTTAAAAAAAAAATTCTGTTTTTTCTCATAGTGCTAAGAGATTTCCAGTTAGCCACAAGTGTAGTAAAGTGGAAACCACCTCACTACGTCTGATTAACTGCGTTAACTTGGTACTCAAGGATGTTCTGGGACTTATTTTTTGAAGATATTTAAGGTGAATGAACTCGGGGATCTTCAGATCATCGGAATAAGTAATAATCAAATTTAGGTTCTTTCAATTAGGTTATTTTAATGTCTAGTGTTAATTGTAAACTAATCTATTTTTACCAATGGTAACTAACCATTTTGAATGACAATTTGAAAATATAACCTTTCTACATTTAAATTCAGACATGCTTTTTTCTTTTAACTATCGATTAATTCGCACAAAATAGACCTTGTTTGTCAATAGTTAGTTTAAAAGAACTATCAGAAAATATTACTTCATATTTAAATAAGTACGCAATAAATTTGTTTTATTTGCAAAAAAACTGACTTATAAATAAAAGGAAATCTCACTGTTCAAGAAATTATTTTGAACAGTTTGCAATGTCTGGGAAAACATTGCAAAACTTCCACTATTCCTTTTGTCAGCTGTTTGGATAAAGCTTATGTGCCATTTGAAACAAATTTTTTTATATAAAAATTAACATTATCTTTTTCAGCTATTTGACATGAAAAAATTCACAGCCAATGTAAATGGGGAACTAAGAAGAGTTTATCCTGACCGTCGAAAACTAGAAAGTCAATGCATATCTGCAATAACATTTGTAAAGGATAGTACTGAACTGTTAGATTGTTCATGCTGGGTAATGATAATCAACGTAGTTGCTTTAGACATGTTAAGGTCAAAGTTTCCTCCAAGTAAGTGTTAAGAATTTCAAGGCTTTAAATGGCTAAAGTCTGTCTTCTAATTTTTTCTTTCATTATCGTATAGAGTACTCTTCTTTTTTTTTTAAATCTCAAATTTCAATATTCTTTATAAATAACTAATTTTTATTTCAGTGCCAAAACGCTCAAGTATTGAAAAAACTAGTAATCGGCGTCAACTGCCAATTCCTGTTGACGAAGATCCATACAGTGTTCCTGTTAGCTCTGAGATTTCTAGAGGATCTGATACAATGAAAGAATCTAAACCACCAAAGCTGCCACCACGAGACTTGAACAGAGTTCCTGTCCCGACTGTAAGTTAAGTCATATATTTAGAAATACGATATTAACTGCTTAATACTATCAATGAATATTTCGAAGATATGTACAGGAATTTCGTTATTGTACTCTTAATGTGTATTTTTCGAAACCTTATCGGAGGCATGCAGTTAAAATTTTAAATTGTCTATGCTAAAAAGGTTATAAAATGACAAATCATTTAAGTTGTGTTGAGCATCAAAACAAATTTGACAGCTAAAACTTGATGATCCCCCTAATTGCTTTTTATATTCTGTTTTCAACAATCTAACTGCTTAAAATCCGTCCTCTTTAGGATTTAATTTTTTCTTTCAATTATACATTAATTTGCATTGATTNATGTATATATATATATATATATATATATATATAAAGGTCCTATATCATAACGTTTATTAATACCCTTAACTGACTAACCATCAGTCTAAAGGGCTATCGTTCTTTGCCACCTTTCTAAAGTTGACATTTTAACACTGAAAATTCACGGTTACCTGATTATATAATAGTTTTGTATTTGTTTTAAGTAAAAAATCTCCTAAGGTATAAGAATTGGAAGTAAAGGAATATCAAGGAAATATATTTTTTTGACTTAATGCAGATTACCAAAGATAAGTTATCTTAAGTGGCACGCCTTTTTAGTTTACTCTGAAAAATACTTTGGTATTTCGAAATGAACCTTAAATTGTGTTAAATGTCGATGGTACTTGTGACGTTTAAATAAAAGTAAATTTTAAAGCTCAAAATAAAGTAGATTTGATTGGAAGGCTTTAAAATAAGCCTATTTGAAAACCTTAACTTTTTATCAGGGAATTAGTTATTCTAAAGCTAATCTTGTTTTTTTTCTGTTACCTTACATTCTTAACATTATGTTTTAATTTAATTCCTTAAATAATCTAAATTAAAATCATGAAATCAAAATTTAACGAAAATATTTTTGTACCACTGAAAAATACTTTAAAGAACACTGCTCCTGAGAACGTACATCACCTTTTGTTTTTTCTACTGGCAACTCTTAAAATTCAGAAGAATCCTAAGTTTAGTTTGTGCTGTAAATGCTGAGCCAGAAACAATCTGTCAGCAATTGCAATGTAAGCAAACGTACTCTTAGTCGATCCCCATTGAGGATTATTTCTTGCCGAGGATTTCCTTTGTCCGAAAACTTCAGGTTTCTACCTGGTCTTACCTGAAATATACATAAAATTAATAATCACTAATTACAGATTATGACTATATTCTAGTATTCTTGCATTCGGGTATTCTTGAGATTCCTTCATAATTAAGAATGACTGCTGTTTAGGTAGGTCACCATGGACATATCTGGAGCTTTGAACATACATATTGTGCTCCAGATATGTCCATGGTCCAATGAATAGAACTTCACTAAACATAACCTTTATATCTGCAAGGCATGACTAATTAAGAATCCATAACCTTCTACTTGGTCTCTACTTCGGTTTAATTTACAAGTCTCAACAAAACTGAAATATCTAAATATTGATATATAAGGAAAACTACAAAAATTCGAATTAGAGTTAAATTGCCATTAGTTTGTAACTAGCCTCTTTATTTGCTCTTTAATTTACTTCATTTCAATACAATTTCGTTGAAAAGTTTAATAGTTTTTTTTATTTTAGTTGGAGAGCCAATACAGCATGGATATATTTCTTAACTTTTTAACGATGCAAGAGAAGTAAAATAAAAATTAGCTGAACAAAATTGGAATTCCCAATATAAAATTTAAATTTTTCCACTTGTTAATATTTATCAACTGATTATTTTTAATATTAATATAAACTCTAAGAAAAACGCGAAACAAACATGTATAACTTCGTAACCATGAATCTTCTTAGAATTCATCAATGAATTCTATTTACAAATTGGCAATTACTTTTTTAGCCTGACTATGAAGACTGGCAGAGAGAGAAACCCTCTCGTCGCATGAGTCAGCAGTCTGGGATCAAAGGTGAGAAAAGTGAATTTCATTTAAGGAAAATTTTACATTATCAAAAACTAATTTCGCTTCTTTAATTGCAGATGACCCTTACTACTGCGGCATGAAAGCGAGGGTTCCTAATTTTGGAAAACGAAATGTAGATAATGCATTGAGCAAAGCACCTCCAGTCAGAAAGAGTCATAGTTCCGGGTATTTAAGTCTATTACGACAGAACGACAGGGTTTTTGAAAACTCCCTGGGTAAGAATGAATGTTCCAATTAAGTGTAAACTGATTTCTTTTCATGGAGTAACTGGTTTAAAAAATGAATCTTGTTTATTGAATGGTTTTTAGAAAAATGGATTTAGAGTAAGCATTCCTACTCTAGAAATGACATTTTGTAACAATTTTTCTGGTCTGAAATACTGACTTATGTGTTTTCATGTGCCAATGAAATTTATTACCAGTAACCAGCAAATATCATTCACTATTGTAGCATCAAAAATTATTCACTATTGATTATTAAGTTTGATTTCGATGATGTTTGTATTTTTAAAGCATTTTAAGAATTTTGAGGACATTTTCTGAAACTAAATGTTTCCTGTTTTTTCTAATTCATTTTTCATGCAAGATACTTAAAATTTCTTTTCGGTTTTGAGTCTTATTTATAGGAAGTCTTTAAATTGCCTTTTTATATGGAAACTCCTGTTTCTTTGTTCTTCCCACTCTTGTTTTATCCCATTCAACATTTATTTTGATCCTTAAATAAAAATTAAATCTCTATTTTAATATACGTGTCTATATAAATTTAAGATAAATGTTTCAAACTATTTTGTTCTAGTTTTATGAAAATTTTATGCTTTTTTAAGAGTATTTAAGTTGAATTCATCAAACAAGTCTAATTGGAAAAGAAATTTTATAGACAAAGTTGTTCATTAATGATAATTGGTAGTTTAGTTCAAAAACTTAATTTTTACTTGTTGGGAGAAAAGATGTAAACTTTTTAGAAGTTTTGAGCTCTAGAGACTAATAATCTGAAAGTTCACAACAGGATTTAGTTCGGATTTAAAAAATTTCTGATTCATTGAAAAATTTAAAAATTTTAATTTGATCGATAAAAAAATCATAATCTTAAGAATAAATATATATTCAATCGACAAGAATCCCGGGCTTGGACAATGCTTCAAGGAAATTAAGACTTCCAAAAACAACTCTAAACGATTAGTCCTACCTAAAGAGCGTCCAGATTCCTAAATAAACTGAAGCTGTCAATGCTGGGTAATAAACTAATGTTGAAAATGTTTTAAAAATTTTTCTTTACGCTATTCCTTATTTTTTAATATGCAGTAGCTTCATTAACTAAAAGTTTGTGTATATTACTAACTAAAGAAATTTTAACAAGTTTTTAAACATTACCTTACTTTGAATACTGATTTTATGTAATTTTTAATCAAAAGTATAAACTGTTTCTCTTTTCTGAATCATAACATGCTCGTTTATGGGATTGATTGTATGATTTTAGTGCCCTGAAATAGTTTGCGATTTTATTTTTGTCAACTAAACTTCAGTATTGTCTAAGCATTTTGAAATTTCCTGCCAATTTTAAAGTTCAAACATGTTTTTGAAATTTTGTTTTCTAGAAATGATTTGAAATTGTTACTATTATATAGTAACTATAAGTTACTATATTGTAATAGTACTAGAAGTTGCCATTTCTCTAGTAAACAATAAAATGATTAGTGTCTTTATAAATATGAAACCTGGTACTTTTAAAATTGCTATTTAATCCCACAAACGTTTAATGTTATAAAGTTCTCAGTTTGTAATTTCAATGTTTTAAACATCCCCTCCGCAGAGGATCAAAATTGTGATGGCATGTCTTCGGATCATCCTCCGGGATGTTTCCCAGACCGTCGCCAATAGCCCATTGTGCAGCTACAGTGCGACGTAAATTAACAACAACAACAATGTTTTAAACTACTGAAATCATATGATTCTTATACTAGAAACTTAAAGATAATTTTATTTTCAGAAGAAAGCTTCAATGATGAAGAGTACTCCAAAGTGTATGGTAGAATGCGAACATTTCAGAACACAACACCTGGTGTATTGTATGTTGGAGAATGGGAATAAACTGCACAAATCAACTTCGTGATGAAGTGGATTGAATTAAGTTATTTCGAAGTTGGACTGTAATTTTGTAAAGTTTTCAGACTGTTACTTTTTAAAAGTACTCTTTCAAGTGTTAAATCCTTGAAGTAAGGGCACAAGTTAAAAACATGTGTTCAGATTGACTGAAACGCCTATATTTTAATGTTTACAAGACAAAGTATGGATTCTAACTGCTGCTGAAGCCTTGAGCTTCTGAGTTGTGCCAACTATAGGAATTGTTTAAAATTTTTAGACTGCTTATTGATGTGAATGGTTTAACCATTTTAAATTTTATAACAAATAAAATCTAGTTTTCCTTGTTTTCTGTGAATATTTTAAACTATTTTTCCACGCAATATTACAAAAGTTTTTACAATATTTAACCACTTACGTTAACAAGACATTCGGATGCTTTTGTCGAAAACTGTCGCTCGAAAGGCATTAAGTGTTCAATAATTTATAGAAATCTGAAAATCTTTCCTGTTTGTGGCCTCCAACGTCCATTTTTTTTTTGTGGTTATTTATTTACCAACGTGCCAACATGCCAACGTGCACATCACTGCGTGAATGGCAGTTTTATAACAAGAGGAAGTACGTTTAAAATAAAGCACACGTGTGTGTCACCATAACGACTGTTCATTTTAAAAATGTCAAAGTAAATTTTGCAATCTCTAGAAAAATCTTAAGTTGGCAGTTATTGTATAATGTAACGTATTTATGAAATTCTAAAATGTCAAGAACTTAAATCTTTAAGTTATTTTGCTTACATGTCATGAAAATAAAATTGCATGACTATTTCATATGTGCATGAAAGATTAGTAAAATTTTATGTCTAAAATTCTAGTTATTTTGAAGATAATCAATGAAGATAAAATGCTACATATTGTCCATAATATATAATACTAAATATTGTCTAAAATTTCCTTTGTGAAATTTTGATAAATTCGGCAGTTTTTAGGCAAATTCAATTTAATAATTTTTATTATAAAGGGTCTTTTTAAATTATCTATTTTTAATAGATAAATTGTTTTATTCTAGTTTAAGAATATGAAAGTATCCTTAGTTCCCCTCTTAATATGTATCTTTTCCTAGATTGTATCTTTAGTCTAGTATTTTAAAAGAATTTTGTCTATTTTGTTAATAGTCTTCATTCACTTGCAAGTTTCAAAAGAATTGCGGACAAAAAAATTATCTCTAAGGGAGCATTCTCACTGCAGGCAATTCGCATATGCGATACATAAATGAGATTCGTGCATGTGCGAGTAGTTAGACCGTTGCCTCTGCATGCGAAATATTAATGTATGTGAATATGAACATTGTCTCATTTATCATGAGGCCTAGAGCCCCTACATTTCAGAGTGCCCCCTAAATATTACAAATTCTTATGTTTTTCATAAGAATTGTCTGTTATCAGTTAACAAAACTTTAAGTAAATATAAGTTCAAATTCACTAATATCGCGATTTATTTGTGATATAAAGTAATTTAAAAAATTTTCATATTTAACCATGGAAATTTGGTTTAAAATAATGACCAGAGGACCAGCATTTTTAGATCAGGCCCTAAATACGAACCTAATCGGTGAAGAATATTCACCTGCGAAATTATAGGTCTTCTAGTGCCAATCTGTGAATATTTCTTCGCCAATAGTGATAAGTAATTAAATTTAAATTACCTTTCTACTACTCTTAAATGCAGTGGATTGAACGTAAAGACATGGTTCAAAGAATACCAAATTGAAGCAACACAGACTGCAGCCAGTAAAAGTGTTTGACCACTTCGATCAGCCTGCGCAAGGACCGAAGGTGTGCGGTATCGGTCCTCGTTAAAATGTTTTACCGTAATGTGCTCCAGAGCTGGCTCACTGGGATACCGGGACCTATCCCGGTGCTCCTTCCTCTTATTATAAAGAAATTTATATTAATTTTGCTTTGAATTTTCGTTTTTCTTAGAAAAAAAATTTTAGAGGATTTGTAAGAAAATTTTATTTTATCTTTCACCTTTTTAAAATCGTTTATCCTTCTCTAAGAAAATTTTTTTTTCCATCTAACAACAAGAGGGGGAGCAAAGAGGTCGAAGGTCATAGCATAACTGCTTGCAAAAGTTCTAAGAAACTAACATCCACCCTAACTGCTTGATTAATTTTGTTTCTATCTAAAATAGAATGTTCCGATAGAACCTTCTTTTCTTGGTATTAGAAAAAAAAATATCTATTTTAAGGGAGCTTAAACAATTCCTTGGAAGAAACAGCTCGTCAAATAATCCCCTTACTAATCTCCAGCCAAGGTGACATATATCCCTTTTCTGACCAATGGGAAAATACTTAAAATTTAAATGTCACTCGGTCTTATCTTTATTGCATCACGAAAAGTATTGTCGGGCTTCTTTCTGACCTAAAAATTTTCTCCCCTATGGCACATGTCTGCGTAATCCTTTATCCAAATAGCAGAATCTTTCTTATTTCTTCCCGTGGAAATTTACTGGGGATCTTTTTCTTAATAAGAATTGTTAATAAATCAGAGAAGCACAACTTTAGAAATGAACAAATGAAATCACAAGGAAGACCAGATTGTTTGGTCATTTTCTTATAAGAATGTTGCTTGTGCTCATCACTAAAAAATACTTTCCCTCGAGCCGCCTAGTCCCTTTTCCGGTGAGTTAAGAAAATTATTTTTTTCTTTTTAAATGTCAAATGCAATAATTCATGTGTGTATTAATTGTTTAACGTTGTGTTATATAGAGTTGAATAGTTTAATTATTTGAGTATTTTATAATTTAAATTCTTTTAAAACTTATTGACAACACTCAATTATATTTTACGGACTGATTTTTTTTTAATGGACCGTCAAGGTCAAAATTATTGGTCAGTAAGGTAATTAAAATTTCCAGCTTCTAACTTTTGATTTGTTTAAAATAATTAAAGTAACCATAATCTATTTTAAAATTATCGAGGTCTACTTTACTTAATGTTTAGAATTAATGTTGAAAAATTTAATCACTTAAAAAATTTAAATATTTTTAAGAATTAATATGTACTAGTCTAATGTTTAAGGAGTTAATGATCGTCATTAAAGAGGTAAAGTCGCAAAATGTCAGTCGTTTTAATATTTTCTAACTATTCTACGTGGATTATATGTCGGCTAAAATGATAAGATGAATGTTCACCTCCAAATTTGATCAACGTGCGTTAAAACAAATATTTTTAAATAGTTGTTATAAGAGTCATAATTAAAGTGCAAATGGGTGATAATTATTATGCTTCATGATTGAAAAAATTGGCTTGACACCTATTTAAAAGTTTAAAAAATAGACTAATATTTTTCAATTTTAATCAAATTCTGCAGATTTCAATAAAAATCTTGCAAATTAATAACTATGCAATTGGGCAAACAAAGCGACACTTTTTCTAATAGTTAACTCAATGCAGTGCTTAACGAACAATTTCCGCCAATTATTCAAAGAGTGTAGTACTAATAAAAGACTTGATTTAAAATTTCTAATAAAGTAGAAAATATAAATTTTTTCACTAAATTTTAGTGGATCTGCATGGTCATTAAGAAAATAAAATCTTTATCTTGTTCATTAGGAATATGCAGCAATAATAATTTGCATTTTTTTAATAACCTGTTGTTGAACAACTGACCTAATTTGGAGTTTCTGACTATCAATGTTTGACTCCGTAGCCAGGGGAACTCCTGCATCAAATATTGTGAGAAATTTGCCTTCGTGAAGGACTTTTTGATGGAAATAGCCGCATTTGCTTTACATGGAGAGGAAAGCAACGAAAACTTCTTGCGGTTTGCCAGACTGCAAGGAGACTATCCCATGATCTGCCTACCACTAAAGTTATTTTACGTCAGTATTTACACTCTGTAAAAAATCAAGACGTTGATATTCGTTCGTAAAAAATAAATAAATGCAACTTTACAATTTAATTTTTTCAAAGGCAATTAGAAATATAAGCAAATTAAGCATCTTCAATTCACCGACAAAAAACATAATTCTCCTGCTAATAATTTTCACTTAACTAAATAGGTAAATCCAACCCCTGTTCGCTATCGCTCTCCAATCCTTTTCGATTTCTTCTCTCGCTGTCTCTACTTTGATCTTTTTTAATACTTCAGCTTTTATTCTTTAATATATTATATATTATCTTGGAAGATCTACTCGCTTTTGCTTTGCTCCCCTTCGCTCGCTTTTGCTTTTTAAGTATACCGACGGAACTGCTCATGAAGTTGATTTCAGATTGCTTCACAATCTGAGGCAGATCGTCTACAAAGCAATCAAAAATCAAGATAATGGGTAAATCAGTATTTTTCCGTAAAAATAAGCAATTTAGAAATATAGCTTCCAGTAGCGGGTTTTTTTTCTTTTCTGATTAAGATTTTTTGCAGTGGTAATGAAACAGAAAATGAATTTACAACTGTAAGCAAAAATTATTTTATCTTCATAAACTCTTAATATTTTGAAAGATAGTTGTTAGTACTTAAATATATTTATTGAAATTAATTTTATGTAATGGTGGAAAAAATCATTATAAATTAACTTTGTTAAATCAAGAAAAAAATATTACACATTTACAAAAATATTAAATAAGGATACATTTTGTTAATACTTTAAATGTAAGATGAAAATTTCCCGCGAAAATCATCAGCTATACAACGTTCCATAAGTTATTAGAATTTTGAACTGAGACTTAGTATTTGTCATTTTCAGTTTATCGGCAAAATATATATATATTTTTTTTTTAATAACGGCAGGCACTGAACTTTCGTTCCTCGCCTTAGAAGATGCCGGAAGTGTTGCTCATTTGTCGTTACCTAGTGAGCACCTGTGAACCAAAGTCACACTGCCACAAATACCCGTTCATAGTGCGGGCCAGATTCACGCATCAGTAGACAACAGAGAGAGAGAGAAACATCCATGCCCAGAGCGGGATTCGAACCCGCTGGAATTGGCTTCGCAGTCAGGCACGCTAACCACTCGGCCACCTGACCGGCTCATCGGCAAAATATACGCCTGAACTAACTGTTCATTCAGTTGGCATTTTGCTTCAGATCGCATTCGCTCGCCTAATTATTGTTCAATACCCCAGGATTTATGTTCTAATATATTTTACGATTTATAGTAATGTATTAATAATCGATGAAATGCTCCAACTCACCATCGCTCGCTAGTGACCGGAATTCGTCTAAGAGCCCACGCAGTTCATTGCAAATAGCTTCAAAATCTAAGACGGATTTCTTTATTTTTTTTAAATGAATAATTCGTTTTTAAAATTAATAATTCATTTTTCAATTTATTTTTCCTTTACATAAAGAA